TCATTTTATTCTTACTTTTGTTTGCTCGTGGTATGACTTGAGTAGTTCGTTTAGTCATTTAAAATACTTCAATATTATGTAATGAAAGACACTTCATCTTCACTAACCTTGACTATGCATTTGTGTGATGATGTGGGAGCAAAAAAGGCATGGATATAGTGAGTCCAGATATTGAGCCAAAGGCTATAGAACTTTATATTTTAAGGAAGTTCAGTGGAAACCTCAAGATTGCTGTTGGAAGGTAGCAAATGAGAGATATAAACTGGGATTTTTGGTGATAGAAAGGATGGTTGTCATAGCAGAAGAACTAGTTGCCTTTTAATGATAAGATGTGATTAACAATGGTTCTGTTTCTGTTTTGTTTAAAGCTGTGAATTTTATTTGTGACCATCCTGATATTAAAGCCATCAGCTTTGTGGGATCTAATAAAGCTGGAGAATATATCTATGAAAGGGGGTCTAAGCATGGAAAGAGAGTACAAGCCAATATGGTAAATACAGTGCAGAAATCACCAGTTGACATACCTGTTTATACAAATTATAAAATTTGATGTGATTATTTTAAAAAAGATTTTCAGTTTGGTTAATCATACTCTATGAGTATAGTATATTCAAGAATTCTGAAATAACTGTGTAGCAGAAATTTTCAAAACCTTTCTTATAAAAAAAATCTGATTAGCTTTTCTCCTTCCTTTATATTGGGGGTTGCAACAACATTCAGATTTAATAGATTTAAACTAAGTTATGTTCTACTCAAGCTGAATGTTGTGAAGATAAAAATATATTTGGTGAATCTTTTCTACCAAGATTTTATCTATATTCTGGATGAATCATAGTGTGCCAAATAACTAAAATAAAACTATTTGGTAGCATAAATAATTTATTTTCTAGGGGAGCTGGAGCTAGTGGAATCTACTAAGATTTGAGGAATTGTATTGTATGATTTTAGGGAGCTAAGAACCATGGAGTGGTGATGCCAGATGCCAATAAGGAAAACACTCTGAACCAACTTGTTGGAGCAGCTTTTGGAGCAGCTGGGCAGCGGTGCATGGCATTATCTACTGCCATCCTGGTGGGGGAGGCACAGAAATGGCTGCCAGAACTAGTGGAGAGAGCTAAGAAGCTGCGGGTTAATGCAGGTACCGGTACATTTTGGTATAATCCATTCTGTAGATGTAGACTCTCCTTCTCAAGCTGGGAGTGATGATGATGATTATAATCCAACATATGTGGAAGGCACCAAGTTGAGGGAAACTGACGTAGAACATCAGAATGTGTTATATTGGGTTTTATTATAGTTCTATCATCTTTCACATTATTAGTATATTGCACATGGGCTAACTAAAAAGAAAGGTCGCCATTTTCTTGGTATTATGGCTTTAGCATAACAAAATTAAGGTTTCAGCATAATAAAATGTAATGTTTTATTATAAAAGTCTTATAAACTAGAAAGGCAAGACAAATGAAGAGAAGAAATGTGAAATCACTTCCTCAAAGCTAGAATGAAATGCTAAACTATTACAGGTGCTTTATATGTGGTTTAGGCCAGACTAGTCATCCCTTGCTAGTATTTTGGTTTGAATTGTAGTTAGTTATTCTTGGTCCCTTCACCAATAGATGAGGTCAAAATGTTCTTTCCCCATCTTTCTTTTGGGAAACTGCCAACACTCCCTAAATTCTGTTTCTAATGGAGAACACAGTCTTGAAATCTTGCAGGTTTTGGAGCATTAGCTTTGATTATCAATATATAAGTAGAGGTTGGGTGAAGGCAAGCAACATCTGCATTGTAGCATATCTGCCTACCAGTGCTCTACTGTACATTTCTTCCATCCATCCCATCCCACCTCCCAAGTATTATTATCTGGTTTATTATAAAAGAATTTATATTTTCTGGCAGGGACAGCAGGAAATTTCCCTTTAGCTGCACCATCTTTGGATGTTGCCAGTTGGTCTTCATTTAAAATGATGTTCTTCCTCGGACATGGGGTTTGATCCCCTTGCAAAAGCTTCCCTCCTGGTGTATGTCTTTCTCTCTTGGTCTGTGATCCCCAGGGCTTGGTAAATTACAGTAAATATTTTTTGTGAAAGATGACCAGTACAACTTTTATCTAGTAAACCTTTCCTGCTCCCCCCCTCGCCAACTTGTATGTTGGCTTTCCTCTAAGGAGGTTGTTGTTGTTCAGTCATTAAGTTGTGTCCGACTCTTTGTGACCCCATGGACCAGAGCACGCCAGGTCCTCCTGTCTTCCACTGCCTCCCGGAGTTTGGTCAAATTCATGTTGGTCGCTTCCATGACACTGTCCAACCATCTCGTCCTCTGTCGTCCCCTTCTCCTCTTGCATTCACACTTTTCCAACATCAGGGTCTTTTCCAGGGATCCAAGGAGGTAGTTGCCATTGATTTATAATGTTAAAAAGAGCTCCACATATTGATTAACACAGTAACAAAGACTATATTCATTTTGAATAACTTCACTAACTTGTTATCCTGCTCTCCCAAAGAATAAGTAGCTGCAGAGAAAAGGATTTTGTACATTTAAATAGTTTGAAGCGAACCTATAAGTAATTACAGGTTCTGCACCTTAGATAGTCTAGATGCATCAATAGCAGTTTTGCAAGGGCAAATAACTGTTTAAAAGATCCATCCAGATTGACGTTAAATGAAAAGATCTTAGGTTTTAAGCAGATTTTTTAATTCTTGTCATAGGAGACCAACCTGGAGCTGATCTGGGACCCCTGATCAGCCCACAGGCCAAGGAGCGTGTCTGTAAACTGATTGACAGTGGAGTGAAAGAAGGGGCCAGCCTTCTTCTTGATGGACGAAATATCAGAGTGAAAGGTTTTGAAAATGGCAATTTTGTTGGGCCAACTATCCTCAGTAAAGTCACGGTGAGTCAATATGCTAAGAAATAAAATGCTTTTGTGCTAAGGAAGGGAAAAGAAACTTCAGTGAAGGATCTTCCAGGAAAGAGTCCCCCCAAAGGACTGGTATTAGCCTGTCATTCATTGGTGGCAGAGAGGGAGGTCGTGAAATGTTGGAAATGAGCAGTTTATTTGGCAAAATAGATAAGCTTGCTTCACAGTATGCATGGAGTGTTCTCTTTGCTGGCAGATCTTACACACTGGATGAGGAAGAGGAATGTGAAAGGTCCAAGCATTAATGATCACTTGAACAGTGATTAATGTATTCTTGAAGGCTTTCACGCCTGGGATCTGATAGTTGTGGCTTTTTCATAGCCCGAAAAACCCACAACAACCATGAACAGTGATTGTTTATCAAACAATAATTGGGATGAGAGAACAACAGCCCAATATAAATACTGTAAGCAGACTCACACTGGAATAGTGGTGAACAGCTCCAGTACAGTCCAGCTGAATTGCAGCAGTTGCAGCAGGCTTTATTAGTGATGTTAAAAATGAAATTATGTTTTTTGTATTTCTCTGTTTGCTGCAATTTAGTCTGTTTCTGTCTTTGCAGCCCAATATGACTTGCTATACAGAAGAAATCTTTGGACCAGTTCTAGTGGTTCTGGAAGCAGACAGTTTGGATGAAGCCATTGAGATAATAAATAAGAATCCCTATGGGAATGGAACAGCGATCTTCACTACCAATGGTGCCACAGCTAGGAAATACTCCCATCTTGTGGATGTTGGGCAGGTAGGCAGAGAATAAGAATACAGAATACTGTAGCTCAGAGTGCCATTTGAATCAATCAGCTCGATGGTAAAGTACAGTTAAAAAAATCTCAGCTAGCCACATTGAGACAAACCTCTGCCTGAGACCTTAGACTGATGCTGCCAGCCAAACTGGGGGTGGGACGGTACTGGACTAGATAGATGAACAGTCTGATCTGGTATATAATAGTTTATGTTTTATCTTCATGGCCACCTCACAAAATAGTCTGGGCTGTTAAAGATATCTGACATACATAATCTTTACATTGTAAACACATGTATGAAGACATTTTCCCTATCCACACAGCTGTTCTTTGTGCTGAAGTGCCTGTCTCTAATTGTGTGAAGCTGGTTGCCATTTTAGTGACAAGGAAGTGAAGGCCAAATTAAATGTAATCTTAAAAGTGTCAATATTTTTATTCAGCATTAAGTGCACATGTTTAAAAAAATGCAAGCACCAGTCACAAATTGCAGACAGTTGTACCAGGACTATGGCAGTCAGTGTGAAGGGCTTAGTCTGTAGTGCAAATAGTTTACTAAAGGGCAGCTAAGGGCCATGGGATTTTTGAGATCCCAAAATGAGAAAGTGAGGTTTTCCTTTAAGTGAAGTCCTACAGATAGACTTCTGATGCTGGAGAAAGAAAAACATGTTTTGAGGGGCTGTTGGAAGCAGTCCCAAGTAAATGGGGTGAAATAAATGTCAGGTTTGGATGACACCATTTTTCCCCCTCCCACAGGATGAAGCTTTTTGAAACTCATGAAACAGGATTCAAAGAGAAAATACTACCTTACTGCATATATTTTGCTTCACCAGCCTAAACATGGTAGTGCACAGGAAAATATGTTATTGGATTCCCTTGCTAGCCTATAGGGTTGTTGAGCTAAATCTTTTTTTCCCCCAATACATAGCAGCTTGGGAGAATTTTCATCAGCAGGGACGGAAAGGATTAAACTATTTACTGGGATCCTAGCATTTATCAAGAAAAGTATTGGTGAAATGCAAAGACATATTTAATGATTATATTTAGGGTGCAAAATACCAAATGCCTCAATGACTACCCAGTATGTCGGCACCTCAACATTAATTTGATTCCAGGCTACTTAGATGCTAGCCCTGTTCATCTCAGTGCCCCCTAAATTGTCTGTTGATTTCTACCCGTGTGTTTGCATAGATAAACAATGTTGTTAATTTGATTTTGGTTTAGATTGGCGTGAACGTTCCTATTCCAGTACCTTTGCCAATGTTCTCGTTCACTGGCTCTCGTGGGTCCTTCAGGGGAGACACCAATTTTTATGGCAAGCAGGTAATTTGTTCAGTTTTTTAAAAATCTGCTTATACTACTTTGAATATCTATTGCTTAGAAGTGTAAAAGGACATGTAAAAAAACAGATATTCAAAGAAGGACAAGCTGAATAAAAACTATTGAAGCTTGGTATCTACCTCTTTTCTCCTCAGGGTGTGCAGTTCTATACACAACTGAAGACAATCACTTCTCAGTGGAAAGAAGAAGATGCCACTGTTGCCAGGCCTGCTGTCGTTATGCCAACCATGGGAAACTAAAAGCAACTGCTTATACTTTCTGGGGTTGAAATTGGAAGTATTCTTTGCCTGCTGTGGTACAGGCCATTCTTGGATACTTCCTGCTGTCCTAAAAATACAAAGACCTTATATGTCAGATCTTTTGGTTTCAAATCTACGTAATTGCCCAGGACTGTTTAACGCAAATCTAGATTTTCCAGCTATGAATCAGCTAACTAATTGTCTTCTTGTAAGCAAATACATTACAGTGAATAATTAGGTAAAAGGACAAGGTTCTTACATGACACTATTGAAAAACTGATCTCTGTATTTCATGGATGGTTAGTTAAGACGCAGTCCTCACAGTTGCTGCTTTTGCTATGTTCACATCTGGTGCGCATTGTAGCTGTAAGAGTCTTAACTGAACTCTTATGCCTCCTACCCATGAAATTCTCTGTGTATATCAGAGAACTTGGATTTCTGGTAACAAGACTGAAGTAAATAATGGGAAAGAAATCTGACTAGCTCTTCTAAGTAGTCTTCAGGATTCTCACAAACTATAACAGTGTGGTTTTGTGAGGAGTCAGCGAATCCTCACTTGCAATAGGAATCTTAACTCCCATCATGCATGAAAGAAATACAGTAATCCAAGATTCTGAATGAAGATATTTTCTGCTTTATATGGTAACATGTCTAAATAGTTTTATATTGAATATTAACGCTGGCTGGATAGCTCAGTTAGTTAAATATCTGGCTGCAGAGCCAGAGGTTGGGAGTTTGATTCCCCAATATGCCTCTGGGAAAACAGACAGCCTGTGTGGCCTTTCTCTACTTGGAAAACTCAGAAAAGAGTTGCCATATGAAATGATGACACACTATTATTATTACTAAATATTGGGGTAACCAGAGTGCATGGTGATCTTTCTTCCTGGGAAGCTAGACCAGCATGGCATGAAGAAAAATATTTAAGAGTCATTCAGTTCCACTAGTGTCTTCTGGCATATTACTTCCCACTGAATAAGTGTAAGTGGAGAACTGTAGATTCTAGCACTATGTATAAGGAAGTTTGTCATCTTACAAGATGGGGACATCTATGACTCCTTAAAATGGAGCAGCTCGAATTGCACAGCAGAAGGTGGCATGCATAGATTAACTGTGAGGGATAAAATATACAGTAATGCTACTTCCAATCTTCATGAAGTGTTTGTCAGTTTCTTAAACTCACAAAGTGTTTCTTTGTACTTGGGAAAAAATTGTTGCCTAATCAAGCAAATTGCACACATTCAATATTCTGCCTTTTATAACTAGCAAGAACTTAAAATAAATCTGATCATCATTACTTAAATTGGTTGTTCAGTTAGGTCTCACATTGCTGTTAATCATTAATAAATAGCTATTAACAACAACCCTTCTGGTTTTCTTCAGGATAAAAATATATTTCCTTTAAAGACGTTGATTTCAACTGGGGCCTTATTTGGATGTTACATTAAACCATGATTGAGTTTGGGCTTGTGCACTTTTTCTCCTTGGAAGTAGCAGTTTTGGAGGTTCTTGCTTTCCCTCAAATATAGCTTGTTTTTACAAAAGCATAGGATTATAGTTTAACACTTAATTGCTTAGTTTAGTTAGTTTAATTGCTTAGCCAACAAATGGGTTAAATTATAATTAGTGCTAAACCATGATCAGTGGTGGTTTGGACAAAACCATTTATACTTTTAGCCCATTTTCAAAATAGCTAACCACGTTGCTTAAAAAAATCAATAAAGTGATTAAAATCAAAGAATGAAGCAATACAATCAACCAGTAAGCATCAAAACAGTTAAAAAGACCAATCTAAAGATATGTTATTTTCTTAACCTAAAAGCAGCAAGAATGACTATTGAACATAACTCTGAAGGAAGTGCATACTTAAATAAATAAAATAAATACCACTAGCTGGGAGCAACTTGAGTAAAAAACTTGATGTATATATTTTGTCAGGTGCACAATATACGTTGCAGGTGATGTATTCTTATAAGGGCCTATGTGTATGTTAATAATGGGACAAACCACAAGCTGTTTAAAGTTTTAAAGATTATAACAAACAGCTTATATTGAGCCCAGTAACCACTGCAGATTGGAATATATTTATTTCATGCAGTGCTTGATAGTTCGGCAGCTGTGTGGTTTTTTGTTTGTCTGTTTTGTAGCAATGATAGCTCCTGGACCACCTTTAAAAGGAATCCCATGTACACTGCATTACTCAAGATGCAACCTAACTGTGAGGCATGGATAACTGGTTCCATACTGCATTTAGAGGAAAATAAAAGTTTCTGTACTCCTAACTAAATAAGAAATAAATAAATAAATAAACAAACAAACATCTGGTAAGTAATCCCATCCATATACGACTAAATCAGATATTTGGGGTTACATCTGAACATCCCTATGTGATGAGGGAACAATATCATTTTCTATTGCATAGAGCTTGGTGTTTTGAAAATGCTTTTACATGCTTCAAATGTGTTTTTTCCAGCCTTTTTAAACACCAGAATACACTATCCACCAATACAAGATTTTTAAAGTGAACAGGTGAAGTAAACATAGCCAATGAGAAGGCTTCCATTTTGGAAGAAATGTATTAGTTTTCTTCTTTTTTTTAAAAAAGAATGCAGTTATCTTTCAAGTTAATTTGAAAGAATTTAAGTACAAATATATTGTGATCTATACGAATGAAGTCTACAATTTTGTTACAGCAGTTTTATCTGCCTTAGAGACTTCAAGGGGGAAATGTAAAAAAGAAGCATTCACTATTTCAGTTGTTCCCTGATAAACAGTCAATCTTGTGAGGGTGGTATAACCTGAATATCTGGAAGGACTGATGATCTTCTTTGAGAAGTTGATTCTGACAGTGGTACCTGTTGTGTAATAAAAGCGTAGACAGGAATAGTTCCATCCGTGCTGAAATGGAAAAAGCAGTAAAATCAGTATACTTAAGCCAAAGCATTGTCCTCTGTATCTTCAACGTACTGTACCAAGTCTGGTCATACCTAGGGCAGTATTTTAACCCTTAATCACATTTAGCATGTATCACATGATACACACCTACGGAAGTTCCCTTTCATGGGCAACTTTTACAGAACTTATTACTGAAAACTCTTATGTTATTTTCAGCTCTTTATCAATGTGATCTTAGAGGCCAAATCACAGCTTTACCGATAAAACTGCTAAAGCTCATCATTAGCTAAAATTTGGTGCAGCTATTACAGTATTGTAAAAAAAGAACACTACTAGAAGTTAAAATTCTATAGTGGTTGGAGAGTGGTCCAAGTATCACAGCTCCTACCTAAACCAATACCACCATTTAAAAACAGATGTGCTCTTACAGGTAATTCATACTGCTCTTACTCAGAAATGTATTTTTAGTGAGACACCAATGAATTAATTAATCTGTTGCCCTCCCTCAAATTCAGAATAAGGTATGATGACAAACTAGCTTCCATATGCAATTTACAATCCCTAAAATATAACATACCACTGTGAAACTCAAGAGCGTAAGAACATTTTCTCTGGCCTTGAGCCCAAATGTAATTCCTATTTAATTCATATTCTTAAATTATGAATGCATAGTCTTTAACAGATTTTGTATAAAGCGCCTTATGATTTTGGATACTCAGTATCCTACAGGAAGGAGTAAGCTCTGCTATACATAGCAGTAAACATGCTTCCTTTTTAATAGAATGATGATATGTTGGTACATTTAAAAAGTTTTTTCTTAAGTTACGGATTTTCAGGGCTTAACTTTTTACAACTTGATTCAGAAATTAGTTCATGGAGCCACAACTTGAACTGGTGTCATATGCTGGCAAGTGACAGTTTTTTAAAAGTGCCATCTTATACAAACATCTACAATGATATGCTAATAGAATGGTCTGATGCATCTCTGTATATATAATCTGTATACTAAAGCAGAGGTCTCCAACCCCTGGTCTACGCCCCCATGCCGGTCCATGGCCTGAGCTGGACCGGGCTGCGGAGACAGACCTCCCACCCCACCCCTCACACGCACTCACCCCCGCACAGCTGATTTGCACATGCAAACATGCTCCAGCACACCAGTGCAAGCACCGTGCCACCATTTGCGCATGCACATGAGCGCCTGCACTAGCGCTGTGCCGCCATTTGCGCATATGCACGAGCATGCGCTCATTCGCGTGCGAGAGAGAGCTCTCGTTCACACGTGCACACAAGCATGGGGGATGCCCCGCCTTCCTCAGCCGGTCCGCAGGGTGAAAAAGTTTGGGGATTCCTGTACTAAGTATAACAGAGATAGATTGGCAAATTGAATATCTAGGCAGATAAACCATGCAGTTTTACTGGCAGTTGCCTTTTTCAACCTCTAGCATTAGCCCTAAAGTAATATTGGCCTGGTAACTTTACGAACATAGCTTGTACAGGAAAGCCTAAGGTTCTAAGAAACTATATGAGAGTCTGATTGAGATAACTTTGATTTATGAAGGAAGAATATGCTTCTGACCTGAAAACCACTCATAGAAAAAAGCAAGCTAGTATGTACTTTGTGAAGTGAGCAATGTTCCAAGCAAGAAGCCAGAAAAAAACAAAAAAATCACACTCTTCTGGACTCAAGTAAAGGTAATAAATGAAATCATTATCACCTCCACTTTAGCTCCCCTTACATCAGAGGTCCCCAACGCCAGGTCTACGGCCCGGTGCCAGTCCGTGGCCTGAGCCGGACCAGGCCACCGAGACAGACCTCCCACCCCCCGCATGCACTCACCCCCGCACAGCCCATTTGTGGCTGTGTGCATGCTCCAGCACATCCGTGCAAGCGCTGTGCCACTGTTTGCACATAAGCACACGTGCACCTAGACAAGTGTGGCCGTTTGCGCGCACACACGAGTGCTTGTGTGCATGCGCAACCAGTGGCACGGCACTCACATGGGTGTGTGCGCTCTTGTGCACACCAAAAAAGGTTGGGGACTGCTGTCTTACATTATTCTGCTGAAAGATGAACACGATGGATTCCCATGTTAGTGTGATCAGCAGTCACATCTACACAGCCACACATATACATTCCTTATATTAATCCAGATTTCAAACAAAACAAAAAGCCATTCTTTATATTGTATACTCAAAGTCTGCTAGAAGAAGATAATTGTAAAACGGGAAATTATATAATTTCTTACCCAGCTTTTGTTTCATCAAAATGAAAACTGGATGGTGTCATGGGAACCAAAGCTTGAGCATATTTCCTATGAAACAAAAACAACCAGTAAAATGCTCAGTTAGTAGAGCTTTTGTGACTTCTTCCATGCTTCATCCAACTTCCATTGTTTATGGAAGTTGGATGAAGCATTACTTATTATCAAACTCCTAGACTGTTGTTTGGTTGTAACTCAAATATTTCTCATGAGAAACCACTGGCTCACCAATAAATAAACCTAAAATTTAATCATATTTTTAAATGTTACGTTTTTCTGAGTGAAAATAACCTTTTTTTTAAATTAACACATGTGAGAATGTGCTAGAAAGGAAGTTGTCAGAAACTGAGCAAAATATTTTTTAAATGCTACTATCTATCTACACTTCCAAAGTTTTTTAATGAAGATAAGAAAATCCCCTCTGGAATTCTAGTTCATTGAGTCAGAGCTGATTTCTTTACCAGTACTCTATCAGCAGGCATTTGAACAGCTGCTGTATGGACAGCATTGTCTATTTAAGTTGAAGTTATTGTACTTGTTTTAGGATGTGTTTTTCAAAAACCAACAGAACAATTTCCTGTGGAAGTATTAAGTATATGCAAGTCTTAACGCCACAGGTAAATAGGAAGATGTCTTGCTTTGTCTAAGCTGAAACCTTTAAAATGTTGATCTGGCATCCTCCAAGGACTGCCACTTAGCACTAATCTAGTCCAGATGACCACAAGGAACACTGGGGAACAGAGTAACCAGTGAGATTATGTCTCTTTTTGAGTCTATCAGTCTCACTTCCCTTTCTTTTCCTGACACTCTGAGGAGCGGTCATGTGCATTACAAGTAGGATTTAAGCTTTCATTTCTTGTGTATTTAACTTTCTTAATAAGGGTTAGTTGTTAACTGATTTATTGTAGGACTAACAGCCCATGGCTGAAATTCTATTGCTTAGCATAGCAAGATACAACTAAATAGGCCCACTGAATCACTGGAACTTATGGAATTGATTCACCAAATCCCCACTGATTCAATAGGCTGATTTTAGCTGCAACTTACTACACTAATACTGTAGTAGGAAAGGCTGCATGGATTTTAGCCACCTGTCTACACAGAGATTATTTTGTTACTCAGAGAAACCTTACTCATAGTACAAAACTTTTTTCCCCTCTCACCTTGTGAATGTTCGCCAAATATAGCACAATCTAATGGTTTTATTCTGAAAAGTACAGTGGTGCCCCGCTTGAAGACGATAATGCATTCCGTTAAAATCGCTGTTAAGCGAAATCGTCGTCAAGTGGGGGGGAAACCCAACTGAAATGCATTCAAAACCGGTGAATGCATTCCAGTGGGAGAAATACCTGCTCGTCCAGCGAAGATTATCCATAGGGGAAGCCATTTTGCATTGCTGTGTTCTGGAAATAGGTCCGGAAAACAGCAGGAAGCCATTTTGAAAACCCGACAATCAGCTGCTTGTAATCATCGTGAAGCGAAAACTTGGTTCCCGAAGCAGGGAACTCATTGTCGTAAAATGAAAAAACACCATTGGAATATCGTTTTGCAATCGCTATAGTGATCGCAAAAAAACTCATTGTCAAGCGATTTTATCGTCTAATGGGGTAATCGTCAAACGGGGCACCACTGTATATATTTTACAAAGGGTCAGAAATAGGCATTGGCCAGCATGTTTTCAATGTGGAACCAGCCAAATTGTATTCTGAAAGTCATCAACAATATAGAAGGGCTGAGAGATTTGCAAAATGCATATGTCTGAGTCAGTTCATGCCTACTCATCTATCACAATAGTTTTTGTGTGTGAACAAACAGACAAAAGTGATATCATGGGCCCTTTATGGATGTGTATGAGCCCTAAGCCATCTACATACATCTTGGAAAACACATGAAGTTGTTATTTTCTGGCCCCTCTACCTCTTTCTGAATATAGCTATGATGCAGAACAATGATAGAAATTTGTCCTGTTAGAAACTATCCTTGTTCTTATGCACCATCAAGTATCTTCTGATGTACTGTGACTCTATGAATGAGTGACAGCCAAAATGCCCTATCATTAACAGCCTTGCTCAGCCCTTAGAAATGCAAGCCTCTAGCTTCCTTCATTGGATCAATCTATTTCATACTTGGCCTTCTTCTTTTCCTTTTATGCTTCCCCCCCAGCACTATTGTCTTTTCCAGTGAGTCTTGTCTTCTCATTGTTGGAAGAATTAAAGTAAAGCTTCCCCTTGACATTTAGTCCAATCATGTCTGACTCCAGAGCACAGTGCTCATCCCCGTTTCCAAGCCATAGAGCCAGTGTTTTTCCCTAGACAGTTTCCGTGGTCACATGGCCAGCACGACTAGACACGGAACGCTCTTACCTTCCCATCGAGGTGGTACCTATTTACCTACTGCAATTTTAATACTTTTGTAAGCTGCTTTGGGTCCCTGAATTAAGTGAGGGACAGGATTTAAATGGAATGAAATAATAAGATAAAAATTAAGTTAGATAGTCAGTGTCATGTACTGAATAGAGTGGCAGTCTAGGACTCTGGAGAACAGGGTTAGAATCCCCTCTCAGCCATGGAAACTCACTGGGGGTGTGGAACTGGTAAAACCACTCCTTCAGTATCTCACTTACCTTGAAAACCCTGTTAGGGTTGTTATAAGTCAGTTCAGACTTGACATCACACAACAAGAAACATGCAATTAAGGTGGATTACCCCATACTGTCCTTAACAATCAAATGCATGATCAATGTGTGGTATAGGATTTTTCCCCAGTCCCTTTGTTAAAAATTAACAGAACAGTTAACCTTTGCTTCCAAATCTATTTCTATAGTAATATATTAGGATAAGCCTTTTACATTACTATCAATCTTCATAGTTCTCTTGCTACCTTTCTCCCGCTAATGGATGAATCACTTATGTTCTAAAACAGTCACATTAGGTACTAGAAACAAAACACTACATTTACATTCTGCTCTTAACACTGGTCAAATAAATATATTACTAGTTTGATCTATTTATTTTGTCTGTTTGTTTGTTTAATGATTACAGTGGTGCCTCGCTAGACGATGATAATCCGTTCCACTGAAATTGCTGTTTAGCGAATTCATTGTCTAGCAAAATTCGCCCATAGGAATCACTGTTTTGCAAATCGCTATAGCGATCGCAAAAAGTCATTGTCTAGCGAAAAGCATTTCCCTATTGGAATGCATTGAAACTTGTTTAATGTGTTCCATTGGGGAAGAATCGTCGTTATCTAGCGAAGATCAGCCATAGGAGAGCCGCTTTGTGAACTGCCGATCAGCTGTTTAAATAGCTGTCTTGCGAAGCTTAGGTCCCGAAAACGCCCGTTTTGCGAGCGTGGACGGAGCTGTCAATATCGTTGCCTAGCAAAACTCAGTTTGCGAAGCAGGGACCAGACATTGTCTAGCAAAATTCGCCCATAGGAATCACTGTTTTGCAAATCGCTATAGCGATCGCAAAAAGTCAATGTCTAGCGAAATAGCTGTCATGCGGGGTAACTGTCTAGCGAGGCACCACTGTACTTATTCCTCATTATTTCTCTCCCTCTTTTGTAGTGTGACCTTTGCTTAGCATGAGGCTCCCTGCTTTAAATCTTCTCTTTAAATATAATGTAGAATTCTGAAAGATACTTTATTTGCTTAGAACTCCTAAGGTCCTTCAGTAAAGAGGATAAGTGTATGGGCTTGCTGGAAAATGCTGTGAATTGTGGTCCAAAAACAAATAAACAATCTTCTCTGAACTTTGAATACAATTACCCAAATCTACAAAAATGTTGATTTTTCTGAATCAATGCTGATTTTTCTGGAGGTTCAAACTGCATGAGATAATGATTAAAAGACTAGTGTTTGCCAAAACTTACTCTACTGAAGTACTCACAAAAATAAGTATCACCATTTTTTCCTTCAAGTATATATATTCCATCTCTTTTCTTGGCCTTATTGTTTAGCACACAAATGCTGAACTGAGAAACTGTAAGTTACCAAGTGGATGAAATTCTTGCTCTCAGTAAGAAACAAAAATTACCGTTGTCTTAGGCCATTCATTTTTGCAAACAGCAACCGCAGTACACTCTCCTTCTGCTCCCAGGTTAATTCAGATATGTCGACTTTCCCTTTCTGAATATTTGTCCTGCAAGGAAAAGTAAGAAGATAATCAAGAAATGCATATCCGAGTGTATAAAAATGTTTTTTAACCAACTCAAAGAAAACTAGTTTTGCAGATTCCACCTGGTTATATAGCCTTGGGGAAACTGAGAACACTGCGTAAAATATATTACCCATCTTTTGTTTTTGAGCAATTTTTTCATTATTCATCATACTAAATGTCAATACTATTTGTGTTATTTGGCAGCAGAGTATCAGAACATTATATTAAGTATAAGTTTTCACACGGAATACTTTGTTTAGTTTTGGTTATCCCATTAATTTATAGTGCTTACAGTCCAAACATGTAAACACTAAAGTAACTTTGGAAAACGTCAGTGCAGAGAAAGAAGGTTGTCAGCATAGGAGACTAAAGAGAGGATAAAATCAATGTCACAAACTAGATATCCTTCACTGCAATCATGGTTTTAACAATAGTAGTAGAAGATATGTAGTATGTATAAAACCTAACAGATTCAAAATATTTCTCTTCCTATAATGCAGTGTATTGAATATGATTGAGAGATAAGGTGATGTGAAGACAAGTGAGTGACAGTCATATCACAGACAAGAAACAGTTATATTCTTACTCCTGGATGAAAAAAACTTTGCAGGATCGAGAGACCATTTTTCTGCTACTCTCAAATCTGGCTGATGACCGATCTGATTTCAGGCTGAGATACACAGTGAGACCATTCTTGATTTAATATTGAATGATCTATATCTACACATCAGATCTGGAATTGACAAATGGAAGTTCTGAACCAAAAATACAACCCTCAAATTATTTTCATGTCACCCTCCGCCCTTCCATCTCTGCCAGCAAAACCGTTGATCCTAAGGACAAAAACATATACTACTCCAAATCTGATTGTAAACTGAAGAACAGGCTTTTTAAAATTCAGGACTTTTTGCCTTCAGTTCTGCCTTTTTTCAGCAGCAGACAATCCTATATTGCTCTGCTCTTGTACTGCCAGCACAACATTAAACAATTTCCTTCGTCATCCCCAAGATATTTCAAGCTGGGATTTCATGACTTCTGTTTCTGAACCAAGGTGACTAGAAACGAAAACGTCTGCAATTTCATAAGACGTACCATTTTTCTGCTTCCATAAGGTCCATTTGCACACTATTTGTGCTGTGCCCATTGTCATTAAAGGTCCTGATTTTGGGATATTCTTCTTTCCCTGCAAATGCCGCCATCATTCTTCTCTGGTATGCAGCTTGGGCCACCTGTTTATAACACTTCCTGCTGGTTATGATCTCCTGTTTCACCTGTTGCAGAGCATCTAAAAAGAAATTTTCTACCTCGGTCCTTTGATCCAAGATATTCCTGGCCAATTTCTTCACTCTGCTTATCTCTCTATCTTTCATCTCCAACAGATGTTGCAGCTTTTCAATTTCTGTCCGACCTGCTTGATTCTGCACTAAAGCTCTTTGTTGTGTATTTTCAACTTCTGATTTAAATTCTCTGGCCATGTGATTAACAGCAACTTCCAGTTTTTTCAGCCTATTTTGCAGTTCCTGGATTAGTGCTTTCTGCTGAGTAATTTGCAAGATCTTTTCCTGAACCAAAAGGTCATTTGTCTCCTTTAAAAAAAAAATCAAGAACGAAAGAAAGAAAATTTGATAAATATTCTATTTATCCAGCTTTCAGTCAATGACATTATTTTAAGGGATTATAAACAAAACTACAAGTCTAAATACATTCCTGTCATAAATTACAGTTCATTTAATTAGAGTACAGGACATTGTCAATTATGTAAACTCATCCTAGCTGCAAAATGTGCCAGTCTCAGACAAATGGAAGAATACACTGCTGATGAAACTATATATGTATTACCTTCTACAAAACCCATACTGAATCTGATATTTTAAAAAATGTAAGATTGGCTCTTCCTTTCAGTTAATATGTAAAGTTAGTAAATATTTATATTCTGCAGTGAAATGACTAGCTTTTCTTCTAGCCCACAGGCAACTGAAACAGCAAGGGTGCAAGCCAGCTTGACCTTTAAGTGCAAATTTTCTACAACAATTGAAGGGATTAAATCTAAGTTATTTTAGATCTCTTATCACTTCAGTAAGAAACACTGTTTGCATTACAGAATCTAATTTTTTTTATTTATTATGTTTATGTCCCACTTTTCCCACAATGACCTCAAGGGTGTCTATGTGGCACTCCTACTCTTCAATTTTCTCCTCACAACAACTCTGGGAAGTAGGCCAGGGTCAGAAAATGTAACTACTTTATTCTAAGGTCGTCCACTAAATTTCATGACGAAGCAGCGATTTGAATCCCATCTCCTGAGTCCTAATCATTTTAACCACTAGAGGACTATGAGATGCTTTCTCAGAAGAAAGCTTTCTAAACTTACATAATGGAGTAAGAGCCTCTACTCTCCAAGACACCTGTAAATGTCCACCTACAACCGCTCTGTGTGGAAAGGTACTATACCTATACAAGAAAGATTTCAGAATGACAAAAGGAAGGAGTAATTAACAAGAACCTTCTCCTGCAAGAGAAAAGCATTGTCCTCTTCCAGTTTTTGCTTCATCTTCTGCAACTCTTCTGTTTCCTTCATGTGGTATCCAAGGGCCTCATGAAGACGAACATTCTCTGTAAAAACAGCTTTTCCAGCATTGTCCAATTGCCTGACCAAAGTCAAAGACAGTCGTTAGTTGACACCATAAACTTTCTATATTAAAAACACACATTTGGATCTATGCTTCTTTTTGAAAATCTAGATGAGTTTACATGGATAGCACTTATGGACATATTCAGTGTTAAGGCTATTCCACTATCACTTACTTAATAAAAATGAACCGCCTATGTAGATGTTCCACAATGTACTCTGCTTTAGTATCTTCTTTATGATTAAGGAATAGACAAACCAATTCTTACGCAATGGCTTCATGGTGGGCTCTTTCTGCCAACATTATAATCTTCTTTTCTGCTTCTCTTTCAAGGCGTTGCTGAAATAAAAATTCAACAGGGATATTTGAGAATCAAAGCCAGGCATAAAAGAGTGTCTAGTTTTCAAAACTGTGTGGATAATGTGATGTTACCACTCTGCCTTGAGTGATACTCACTCTTTGAGAGTGATACTCTGGAAGTATTATTGTAAATATTTAGATTTGTCATGGATAATATAAATATTTCCCTCAAGGTTCTTACCTATTTTATTTCTGAACATTATGAGATAGTGTGATACCTTATCAAGAATTTGGATCAGAGTAATATAATATTTCTAATGGGCCATGTACTGTTAGAAACTACAGAATATAACACATTGCTGGGACAGCATACCACATGATCTCCAGTTTGCCATTACAAAAGGCAGAGACTGTTCATTAAAATGAGTGGGCTTTACACCTACACAAGGATGCATTACCTCTTGCAAAAGCTCAGTAAAAATCCATGCAGGTGCCCAATAAATGCTGCACAGTGAGAATGGATAAAGATTACCGGTATACTGGCTTATGTCTCTATTCAGTATATATGCAGGTGATTCCAATATCTATACATGTGTATCTTGAAACTGTGGTGCTTTCTTCACTAAGACTTCCCCATAATTTCAAAGGAAATCAACAGTACTGCCAGAAACAGCCTTGCTGGGACTGGCTATACTGAAGTAGTTTATCTACTATGCCCTAAGAACTGTACCTTTTCTTCAAGGAATTTCCTCTCCAACATGCTGATTGTTTCCTGGTGTTCTTTTTTTGTGGTATCCAGGGCATCTTTTAGCTATGAATTTAAGAGATTTTTAATTATTATTTTATCCACTGAGAAGATCATTCTTTCAGGATATAATGCCTAATTCCTACCTCATCCAAGCACTTTCCATAGCCCAATTTTTTCTTCTGATTTGTTATCTTTGCACTTTCTGCAGCTCCCGTCTCTTATATAGTTTGCTGACTTCCAAATATTTCCAGGTTCAGTAACACACATTGTGATTATTGTTTAAAAAGTAGCACAGACCCTTATCTCCTCTGTTTTCCAAAAACACTTCCAAGAATGTTACATTGTATAAGACTTTTTTGATTTGAAAACTCTAGAGTCTAATGTTGCCATCATCCCATCCTATAAATTTCCAGCAGAAGCCACATCAATCCATGGCAGGAAACAACAAATAGTCTTATGATACATTAAAAATTGATAACATTTTGTAGACACTGGGTTTGTGGACTGCACCCTACTTCATTAGATATCATGCATGAAAGTTTATGCCATTAAGAAGCCACCAAACTGTTGTTTGGCTTGAAGTTAATTTCAATCTTATGTTCAAAACTCAGTTTCAGAAGTTTAATTTTGGCCATCAGGCATAAAGGAATGGCAAAATGAAATACGCCCAGGGCCCCGCTGAAAGTTAATAGACTAGATCAAGAAAGAGAAAACCACAAGTCTATGGACCTAATCTGGCTGGATGGGTTGGAATGTGCCCTGGCCTCCTGGAGTAGATACTAATCATAAACTTACTCCTTCAAGTTCATTCTCCAAAAGTGCCTTCTTTTTACGAAATTCCTTTATCATTTTCAGCTCAATTTGGATTATACCGATTTCTCTGGCCTTTTTGTTGAATTTCTCTTCCATCTCTTCCAGCTGTTTGACATACTGTGCAGCCTGCAATGAGATGATTTTTTTTACAAAGGTGAAAACTACTAAGTAACAGCTTAGTAGCAGGAAAATGACACACATACCACTTTGATAACACTCTGATGTGCAGTAGGTTTTAAGACAATAAACACAAATGTCTATTGACAAAGAAAAGGTACCACAAAAAGGCTAAAATAATTATTAACAAAATGAAGCTTCCAAGTTATGGCTTTTTAGGACCGAATAATATATCAGTTCTGCCTACAATTGTATGGATCAACTAGTGGTAATAACTCTGTATTCCTTATTTTAGGTCAGTTTGCTCAAAAGTAAGTTTTATTGAGATTAATATAATTTATTTATATGTAAGTGGGCTGTCCCATTTTATTGCCTTGATGTGAGAATTAGCATACTATGAGCCTCACATGTCAATTTTCCTAGCAAGACAAAAGACCTAGTTATGGTTCTAATCACAATTTAAGATCTCTGCAACAAGTTAAAAGTAGGGCCTTTTGGCTTAATATCTGTATTGCAAAACAGTCTTATCTGATGTGTTCATCTTGTGAGGGTTAAGCCTCAAGAGGTGCTTATTCTGATCTTCAGCACTCCATGTAACCGACACTGACAGAAGAAATGTCCATTCACCAGTTGTTCATTCTCTTCTTTGGCTTTTTCTTTCAATTCATGCACCTGCAGCTTCAGCTTCTCAATCTACACATTGAAAAGAGAAAGTTGAGATAATCTAGCCATTGCCTTCTATCACCAGCTGGGAAAATTCAACAATTGCATAGCACACTTTAACAAGTCCAAACCATTAAAAAGCACTCTACATAGTGTTAAGATGTTAACCATATCAAGTTCTGCTGGGAGTAACCTGTTCTGAGTCAAAACAATTTCCCCCCAATTCCAAAACTGGAGGGATCTGCATTCTTGGCATCTTTAATGTCGAGGAAGCTGTATTTTGCAGCGCTAAAAGTGCCCTACGTTTGCAGACACCACCAATCTTCTCACACGAGGGTTTGACCCCGGGATTATTTTGAGATAATTTTGCCCCACAAGCTGTAGAGACCACCGTTTGCCTGAGTAAAAGCCAGCAACTCTGAAGTGGAAAGCCTGGCTGAGTGACTGCTCTGTCCCTACCATTTCTTCCTTTTCGGCGTCCTGCTTTTTGAGGAAACTCATCACGTCGACCGTGTCCTTCTCCAGCCGCCGCCGCTGCCGGTCCAGCTCCTCGTTGTTCCGAGCCAGGCGGCGCGCGGCTTCGCGGTATTCCTTGCGGGATATCTCCGTCACCTCCAGCCTGGCCTCCCATAACGCCAGCGCCGCTTTAGCCCGGTCGGCCTCCGACTCCTCCTTCAAGGGCTTCGAATCCGCCCGGCTGCTCCCGGGGCCGCCTGCCTTCTTCCCCCTGAGGAAGAGGGACCAACACCGCACCCGTCAAGGATTTGCCCGGGCGGCCTTAGTGGATCACCACCCCTTATGTGCCCGCTTCCCGGGTTACCTACTTCCCGCCTTTCGCCCCTTTGCCTTTGTTTTTTCCTTTCCCCTTCATGTTGTCCGGAAGAGCCTTCCTTCCACCCGGTGTTTCGGTCCGAGGCGGCCTGTCTCCATGGAAACCGGCTGTCGCGGACAAGTGACGAAAGCGGGGTGCCTCCCGGTCGCGACGCGCCGTGTGTGACGTGACGCGCGGCACCGGCGAGATGTGGAAGGTTGAGGGCTTTGACAAGGCGGTGAGTGGAGAATTAGGCACCGGCGGGTGTCGAGGTGTTTTGTTCTTCCTTTCCCCCCTTGCAGGGTCGGGGCTCCTGCTCCGGCCAGCCTCTCCGGCTCTCTTTTTCAACACCACCACCCCGAACCCAACTGGCTTATCTTCCGTTGCCTTTGCCCCATTCCGGTTCTGCAGAGCTCAATCACAGGCATATTTGCCACGAATCTTGCAAACAGGAGTTCTTCCCTCAAGACTTGATTTTCGTTTCACTCCCTTGCATACAAGAGCAGATATTCATTTTGGGCATTATTTCCGTTTTAAAAATACGAGGATTTGCAAGCAGGTCGTTGTCACCAGCACCAGTAAAACACACGCCCATTTCATGACATACAGGTTGAGTTCCTCGGTATATAAACCGATCTTGAGAGAAATACTGTATTGCCTTTATACTCCGATTCTAGATATTACAGTACTGTATTTTAGAGGCTCTGCCATGTAAGGCTTTCCACGCAGCTACACGATGTATGGCTGAGGTAGAGCTGTGGATCGGCATAGCGTGGTACTGTATAACAAACAGGATGGACGAAGAAACGGGTTTCTCTGTTTCCCTTAGTCATCGTGAGTTTACTTTGTGCCTTTATCTGCAATGAATATGCAATTTGGTAAATCATTTTCTGACATGGCAGTAATTCCCAGAAGAGTATTTAGTTGTCTGAATTCCACCCCTTGAACTTGTCTGGCATAAAAAACATGCAACCTGGACACCGTTTCTTTGTATTAGATAAATGATAAACCCAGGTTTGTAGATAGTACTCAGCTTAAAATTTAACATGCAACTCTCTTGCTTACACAACTGACTGACCAGTCTTGTAGATTACTGTACACTGGAAATTGAGAAAGAGGTACGTACAAATAGTGACTTCTGCTTGACTGGTTAAATAGATTTTGCGGGGAACGGGTCATTCTGGAATAGAAAGAAGCTGCCTAAATTACAGCAGTTTAATTGAGTCCATCAGACAATAATAACGAAGAAGGACTGATATATTACTTAATATGTTAGTTAGGAAACGTGATCAATATGTGTGGTGCTTTACATGTGAAAGAGGATGGTGTCTTTCCCTGAGGAGGCTTATAGTATGTAGTTTGACAAGGAATTTACAGTATTAGTAAAGGTAGAGGGACAAGGAAGAAGTGGTAAACGGAAAGGATATGTTTTAATTTTAGTCATGCATAGTTTTGTTATGCATAAGTTGCTTCTGGCTTATGACAACGATGTGAGCTCATGACCACCAAAAAATCCCTGGTCAAGTCTTGCAAACTGAAGCCTGTGGCTTTCTTTCTAGGTCAAGGTTTCTCTTTTCCTTTTGCCTGAACGTTTCCTAACTTTACTGTAATCTCATAGTATGTCCAACTGATAGGTTTGTTCTCCTTGCAGTCCAGGGGATTCTCAAGAGCCTCCTCCAGCACCACAATTCAAAGGCATCAATTCTTCGGCGGTCTGCTTTCTTTATGGTCCAGCTCTCACTTCCATACATCACAACAGGAAAAACCATAGCTTTGACTATTCGGACTTTTGTTGGCAAGGTGATGTCTCTGCTTTTCAAGATGCTGTCAAGATTTGTCATCGGAACGTTTCCTAGCTTTACTGTAATCTCATAGTATGTCTGAAGTATAATGGCCTGTCATTTTACAGTACTTCAAGCTTGATTTGATCTAGAACTCAGCTATTTATCCCTCTGAGTGTCCATGGTGTTTGTAAAGTTCTCTCTCAATACCATATTTTGAATGATCCTATTTTCTGCTGTTGGCTTTCTTCATTGTTTAGTTGTCATATTAATGTATACTAATTGGCAATACCATAGAATGGATTATCTTCACTTTATTCTCTGGCAACACTTCCTTACACTTAGGTATCTTTTCTATTTTCCTCATAACTTCTCTTCCAAGTCTTCTTCTGATTTCTTGTTGGCAATCTTTATTTTGAGTGATGATTGAACCAAAGTAAAGAAGATCTTCAACAATTTCTATTTCTGTACTGTAAAAGCAACCTCTCAGAAAACACTTCTTTCCTGCATCTAGAAATCCTTTTATTTTAATATGAAAAAAAACATTCCATCTCCTTCCAGAGCTTTTCTTGTGGGATGTTTTTTGTTTCCTGTGACAGTTGAGAATACGAGGATGAACTATGTCATTTGGAGGGCAGGAGAAATACAAGTATTATATTAGTAAAGCTGAATACCATGAAAAAGTTGACATAATCAGAGCTGACTAGATGTCATGTAATTATTGTTAAAATTGAATAATGAATTTCAGCTATTGCTGTTACTTTAAAAATTGATTCAGATTATAATTTTGCAGTTCTGTTGTTTCATTATAGTAAACCGTCTTTTCTGTTGCTAGTAGGATGGAGAAGAAATTAATAGCAATTCAGATTTCAGTTTGTAAATGCTTTCTCTAAGTTTTGTTTTGCTTGGGACTTGTGCGTTAGAAATATCAGGTTTAGGTTTAAGATCATAAGACCAGCTTTTTCATTTTAGCAAAATCTAGTATACATGATGTTATGCCACCCTTTCCCTCCACAGACATATGGATGAAAGATATCATTAGACTGTTTCTTGACTATTTTTCCTTAAGATGACCACTTGATAACTTTATTGTTCTGCATGCACATGGGTCAAAGTTTATTGGTTTAAATCTAAGTGGGAAAGTGAGATATTGCTGCTAAGGGAGGCTTGAAGGTTAATTTTAGATTGTTTATACATTGATGTAAATTAAAGGGGTTGCTTGTAAGGAGAGAGAAACAATAAGCAGAGAGCAGGCAAGCTCCCTATGTAGAAGGTTTAGGATATTGAAGCAGGAGCCAGTAGGTGGATCTGCAGGAACTGATAAACAGTCTAGCTCTTATAGATTCAGATGCCAAGTACACACATCTGTGGACAGTTGGAAGGTTGGCTATAAAGGTAACTAGGTAGGTGGGGAGAATGTTATGAAAGATTGATGTACAATTCAGATGCTTATTAGAAAGTGGATGGTGCATGTTAGAATTAAGAACAGAGAAGCATCTATTGAAAACTGAATATTAATACTGTACTTATGGATATGGGCATACATTAGTTTAGCAAACTGGTTAATACAAATTGTTGCAATAAAAAGAACAAATATGTTAAATATAGGGGAAATGGCTTTACCCCACCCCCAAAGGTGTTGTCAATGGATGTGATCAAATACCTGGGCTGTAATGTGAAGTTCTGATTCCAAATTGTCTCAGAACTTTGGAAATAAACAGCAGGAGTGTTACTTTTCCCTGTTACTATGGAGAAAAGTTCTTGTATTTGTTTCTGATTCAGTTGTCTAATTCAAACACTGTCAAATGACTATTGTTTGTTTTCAAAAGATAGCTGATTTGAGTTTTGTATTTCACTTCAAATTTTCTTTTGTAAGTTTACTGTGTTGGGTATAGATATTAATTTTTTATATATTTACTGTTACCCATTTTCTAGGGATTGTGGGATGCTTTTAGATCTAGAGCTATTGTTTATTACAACATTGGTGGGGAGGTTTAACCAAAAAACTATTTGCATCTGATTTGGAAGTAAAAATTAATTTGAAAATAAGAATGATTCTGAAAAAAAAAAACCAATTGTATACATAGGAAGGAACACTGCAGGTGAATACACTTCTTTGTTCTGGCTATCTAACAGTATGCAACTCTTGCAGGGATGGGGCACACTTGGCCCTCTAGATATTGGTAGACTGCAGCTCACATTATCTTTCACCACTGGCTCTGCTGGCTAAGACTATTGGGAGTTGCAGGGTGAAAACATCTGGAGGGCCACATATTCTCCATCCCTGCTGGCTTGACAATGATGCTGCCACTTGGAATGGTCTCTTTTGCTCTTCTGATCTCTCTGAGCAGCTGGCGTCAACAGCAGATGATATTCCTATTGTCCATTATTCTCTCAATTACATTTGTGTTCTTTGCCTGCCCAGCCTTCCCACAGTGTTACAGTCAGGACACAGAGTCTTGGCCTTGTTGCAGTTTAGCTGAATTATTATATTAATGCCAATGACTGAACTATTAAGATATCATCTTGAAGTTGAAGATCCAAATACTTCTTAAGGAAGGAGAAGAAGAGTTTGGATATTTATTGGATTAATTAAGGACAGAAAGCAGCCTTACTGTGAGTCAGGTCATTGCTCCATATAGCTTTACCTTTCTTAGCTTCTTAAATGAGGCAAGGGAGTATGGTATTATTGTATGGAATCATAGAACATAATTTAATTTGTTCTATAGACTAAAACAGAGTGACCTTTTGATAGTGAGCATCAAATTCCTAAAGTACATTTTAAAAATTAATTTATGATTTTATTTAAAATAGCTTTAACCCACTGTAGTGTTTACCCTTGTGACCCCTGCTTGTTTTTCCCTCACAAAGGCTCATGTCGTGTTCTCTTCTCATCGCCACCAGTGGATTACCTCAATCCACAATATAAATGATGTTTGTCAGAACACTTGTCTTGTGAACAGAAACAAAACTTAATAATTGAAGTGAAGGAGATTGAATAATAACAGATACTAGACACTTATCTAGAGCTGAATCAGCTTCCTCAGATTGCAAGGAGAGATAGTTGGGTGTCATCCACATATTGGTGAAAGCAAACCCTAGAAGTCCAGATGATCTCTCTCAGCAGTTTTATGTAGATGTTAAATATCATAAGAGACAAAACAGGATCCTGCAGGTCAGCGGCCAGGATGTCAAGCAGTAGTTTCTCAGCATCATTTTCTGAGTTCTCACCTCCAGGAAGAACCTGGGCCAGTGTAAAACAGTGTCTCCAAGTCTCATCCTAGAAAGCAGGGCCAGAAGGATGCCATGGTTGATGGTATGGAAAGCTGCTGATCGGTCTAATAGAACTGACAGGGACATACAGTACTCCCCGTTTCAAATTCCCAGTGTAGGTGTTTGGAAAATAAAAATATAGGATGAAAACGGCATGTTATGATGGGAAGAGCATGTAGGCCTGGTACACTATCCAGACTTTGGTTCATGACAGTAGGCCTCTAGTCTCACAGAAGTTAAAGAGGAGAGCTGGCAGGAGATACAATGTGCTGAGTAATGTGCTAAAAATATAAACTTTATAATTACTCATGTGCTAGGCAGCGTTATGCTGGGTAAGGACTGACCATACTCCTAGGACAATGAAAAACTCTGAGGGCATAAACGAGTTTTGTATCAAAGCTATGAAATGCTCAGCATTGTATAATCAAATAGTCTTGTGCCGCAAGAGACTCTGTAAGTGTCTTCTTGTTTTAGCCCCTAATTATAATTAGATCTTTTAGTTTAAATAAAGCTATCTGCATTGAGGCAGTCTCTTTTGTTTGAGAAGTTTAATTTTACTGACATACTGTAGGTCATTCACCGAGGCAACTGGAGCAATCTTCATCCCATAACCAAGTCTGGAGTCAAATTGAAATGGATCTAGATAATCAGTTTGTGTAGCTGGAAGCGTGATCTTTTTGAGCAGGCCGGTTTTTAGGACGTGGGAGGCTTTTGTGTGTGAGATCTCTTTTAACAAGATTTTAATTTATGACTGTATTACTTTTAATCTATTTTCTCCAGGATCTTCTGCAACTCTGGAAGTCCTGATTCAAACACCAGCTGCCCAAGGCTCCCAATTGTGATGGCACTTTCCTGGATCACAGTCATTGGCATATTTGCACTTTCTTCCATTTATTGCATTCTTTCTCATCCTGATCCAGAAACATGGTTTCAAGACCTCTTCCCACTTAAGGTGTGTCCTGCCAATACCAGTGTGAAAACTTTTTATGGCATCATGTTTGATGCAGGAAGTACAGGGACACGTATTCATATTTACACCTTTATACAGAGAAGCCCAGGTAAGATTGTGTAAACAGGTTTTCAGGAATAATGTCTGGAGCTTTCATTTCATTTTATTTTATTTATAATGCTGCCACTAAAACTATAAAACAATCAACAGTTTTAAAATATCATATAAATATCATATTAAAAACAAATATATATTAAGAGTAAAAACAATATAAAACATGTATCAAAATTAAAAACAATTTTAAAACATTGTAAAAAGCATTTAGAAATCTGTAACAAAGCATTCCTTATAGACTTATTGCTTAAAAGCCTGCCTTGAAAAGAAAGTCTTTGCATAACAATGGAAGGACAAGAGGCAAGGGACCAACCTGTCTTCTCAGGACAGTACATTCCAAATCTTGGGAGCAAGCACTGAAAAGGCCCTCTCTTGTGTCACCAAGCAAGCTTGGGAGGGTACTGGTACCAAGAGAAGGGCTTCCTCGGAAGACCTTAAGAGCTGAGAAGGCTCATATGGGGTGATGCAATCCTTAAAATAGCCTGTACCCAAGCTGTATAGGGCTTTATAGGTAATAATTAGCATTTTGAATTGAGCCCAGAAACAAGTCTGGAAGCCAGTGAAGCTGTTGTAATAAAGGAGTTAAATGCTCCCTGTAACTATGGTACCAAGAGAAGGGCTTCCTCGGAAGACCTTAAGAGCTGAGAAGGCTCATATGGGGTGATGCAATCCTTAAAATAGCCTGTACCCAAGCTGTATAGGGCTTTATAGGTAATAATTAGCATTTTGAATTGAGCCCAGAAACAAGTCTGGAAGCCAGTGAAGCTGTTGTAATAAAGGAGTTAAATGCTCCCTGTAACTATTGCCAGTAAATAGGGCTTTATAGGTAATAATTAGCATTTCGAATTGAGCCCAGAAATAAGTCTGGAAACCAGTGAAGGTGTTGTAATAAAGGAGTTAAGTGCTCCCTGTAACTAGTGCCAGTAAGCAGTCTGGCTGTAGCATTCTGAAGTTTCTGAACATTCTTAAAAGCAGCCTCACATAGAGCATGTTGCAGTAATCGAAACAGGATGTAACTAAGGCATGTGTCACTGTGGCCATAGTGGACATCTCAAGGAAGAGGCATAGATGGTGCACCAGTTTTATTTGTGCAAAGGCACTCATGGCCACTGCTGAAACCTGTGCATCCAAGTTCACGGTTGAGTTAAAGAGCGCACCCAAGCTACAAACCAGACTTTGAGGGGGAATGTAACCCCAGCCACTACAGGCTGAATCCCTGTCCCTGGATTTGCCTTTTGACTAGCTAGGAACACCTCTGCCTTGTTTAGCTTAAGTTTCAGTTTGTTAGCCTTCATCCAGTCTTTTGCTGATAACAGGCACTTGTCTAAGCACGGAACAGCTTCCTGGGGATAAAATGGGAGAGACAGAGTTGGGTGTCATCAGCATACTGAAAGTTTTGAATCCTCAAATTCTAAACAACCTTTTCCAAGAGTTTCTTGTAAATGTTGAATAACATGGGGGACAGGACTGAGCCCTGAGGGACAGCACAGACCAGTTGCCCTGGGTGTTGAACAGGATTCTCCCTAACACCATCTTCTGAATTTGGTCATCCAGTAAGTATTGGAGCCACTGTAAGACAGTATCTCCAAGACCCATCCCAGAAAAGGCACCCCAGAAGGATACCATGGTCAATGGTAACAAAAGCTGCTGGGAAGTCCAGCAGAACCAACACTTCCCCAATCCAGTCCCTGGGGCAGGTCATCCACCAAGGTAAGAACATAAGAAGAGCCCTACTGGATCAGGTCAAGGGCCCATCTAGTCCAGATTCCTGTATCTCAAAGTAGCCCCACCAGATACCTCTGGGAGCACACGAGATTACTACCCTGTTTCCCTGAAGCAGGTATTTCCAAATTCCTGGACATCTCATTTTGCTGCAACAGATAACTTGTCCTCTCAGGAAAACAAGGTTTACCACTGCAGCCTAGATATTTTATAGATTCCAGATATATCCTTTGTGATTTTCAGTAGTTTTTAACTTTTAAATGAAAATCTGTATTTAATTTATGCAGAAAATCCTGCAGAGTTAGAAGGGGAAATCTTTGAATCAGTGAAGCCAGGTCTCTCTGCATATGCTGACCGGCCTGAGAAGGTAAGACGTTTTTATGAAATTTTGTGATGGCCTTTCCCCTACCTTGCCACTATAAGGTTTGTTTAACATGGGGAAGGACAACTGTGGCCTTCCAGATATTTTTGGCTTACAACTTCCATCACCCTCAGCAGAGCCAATTGTGAAAGTATTTGGGAGGGACACAGTTGTCTATTCATGGTTCAACACAAAAAAGAAAATAGATGTTAGGGGGAGAGGATGCAGTAAAGAAACAGCTAGGAAAAAAAGAGGAAAAGAATTGCAGTTACAGCTGTCAGGAAAATAGATAGAACCATCACTGGAATTTGAAGGAGATCCCATACATATATATCCTGTATGTAGAATACATATATGATATGCTACTTTATGTCATGATTGATTGCTTGTCCCTCTTTCCCTTATTGTCTTCTGTGACTGGAAGGCAGTAGTTCTCCAGGCTCTTTCCTATTACCTACTCTTTCAGATCTTTTTAACTAGAGGTGCAAAATATACATGCACTGGGTTATGCCATTTCTTCCCCAAAGTAACAAAAGAGGTCCCTAAAAAGAAAAGCAGCAGCTTGCAATAAAATACAAACAACTATCACTATAACAGAGTGAGCTGTGAGAGACATGAGTAACAAGGGATTGGTTGGGAGCAATGCTTAAAGAATTAAGCCAATTTCCTCACAAAAAGATGGATTTGGGGGAAGAAATGGAAAGAACAGAAATATTTAAAGGAAGTGGTCAAGCTAGTGTTGTACCTAATCCTATCAATATTTTTCTTGCTTTCTCTGAAACCATTAGGGAGCAGAAACGGTCAGACAATTGCTAAACATGGCCAAAGAGGTTGTGCCATCCAGCCATTGGGAGACGACCCCAGTGGTGCTGAAAGCCACAGCTGGCCTGCGGTTGTTAGCTGAGCACAAAGCCGAGGCTCTTCTCTCAGAGGTAATATTGGCTTGTATTGCAAGAGAAGGAGATATCATGGTGCAAAAAGTTGGGGACGTTTTTAATGGGTTTCTTTAGTGCCTCACTAAATAGACTTACTGCCATGAATTTGACACACTTGTGTTTTTCAAATGCAGCAATACATTTCTGTGAGTACTTGCCATTCTTAAAGCTGATGCTGTTTTGTTTTTTTTTTAAATCTTATTAAGGGTGGATGTCATCAGGGCAGGAGATAGTCCTATTTTTAATTTCTGATCTTTAAGTATTGACTGGAAAACATAAAATGTGTACCATCTTGTTTTGTATTCCATTGCTTTCTATAGAAAAGGAAAAATTGTGACCTCCACATTCTTCATTCCAAGAATGAGTTCAACTTCTAGGAATATAAAACAGTTTTCCCCCCTTTTTCCACAGGTTAGGGCAGTCTTTGAGGAATCACCTTTTCTAGTTCCTGATAATTGTGTTAGCATCATGGACGGAACATCTGAAGGTAGGTCCAAAAAGGAAGAAACAAAAAAGGATGAAGTGGGGAAAATAATAATAGGAACAAGAGAGAGGGAGATATGTCCCTCAAGGATGAATGAAAAGTAGGATGCTTTTATTGTTGCTTTGAAGTGGTTGAAATTTATAGTACAGTGGTGCCTCGCTTGACGACGTTAATCCGTTCCAGTGAAATCGCTGTTAAACGAAATCGTCGTCAAGCGAATTTTAAAAACCCATTGAAACGCATTGAAAACCCTTCAATGCATTCCAATGGGCTAAATACCTCATTGTAAAGTGAAGATCCTCCATAGGACAGCCATTTTCTGGTGACTGTATAGCGAGGAATCCATCCTAAAGCACAGCGGGGAGCCATTTTTCACAGCAAGCGGCCATTTTAGAGCCGCTGATCAGCTGTTTGAAAATCGTCGTCTAGCGAAAAATCGGTTCCTGAAGCAGGGAACCAATCATCGTGAAGTGAATTTTTCCTATTAGAACATCATTTTGCGATCGCAAAAACCCCATCATCAAGCAGTTTCGTCGTTTAACGAGGTAATCATTAAGTGAGGCACCATTATCCTACTTATGTATAATCAAGGCTGCATTTTTTAGACATGATCAGAGAAACAAAGCAATCTATTTATACATAGAATTTTTAAAAAATTGCTTTCCATAGGCAATTATATCAGACAAGGATATATTTTATCCTTTGCCAGTTGAATTTATATACAGAACATATATAAAAGCTGGATTAGATTCAGATGGAGTGAAAATTTGTGGAAGAAATACCAATAATTTAGAATATGTAGATGATCTCATATTATTGATAGAAAGCAGCAATGGCTTAGAATCATAGAATAATGAAGTTGGAAGGGGCCTACAAGGCCATCAAGTCCAACCCCTGCTCAATGCAGGAATACAAATCAAAAGATATCTACCAGGTGATTGTCTAAATTTCTCTTGAATCCCTCCAGCGTTGGAGCACTCGCTGCCTCTCAAGGTAATTGGTTCCATTGCCGTACTGCTCTAACAGGAAGTTTTTCCTTATATTCAGCCGATATCTGGCTTCCTATAACTTGAGCCCATTGTTGCATGTCCTGCATTCTGGGATAATTAAGAAGAGATCCTGCCCCTCCTCTGTATAACTACCATGCAAGTATTTGAAAAGTGCTATCATATCTCCCTTCAGTCTTCCCAAGTCTAAACATGTGCAGTTCTTGAAGTGGCTAGTGATGAAATGAAGCATGAACACTGTCCAGAAACAAAAAATGATTAAACTGAGTACTTCAGGCAAATCATGAGAAGACAAAAGAAAAGACAAAATTTGAGGTTTACAATCTACATGCGGGTTTACCTTTTTCTCCATTTCTTATCACATCGTATGTACTGCATGCGATGCTTAGTCTGAATCCTTGCAAGTTGCAACCCATAATTTTATTATGACATGGTTGTTGTGAGTTTCCCGGGCTGTTTGGCCATGTTCTTAAGGTTTTTCTTCCTGATGTTTCGGCAGTCTCTGTAGCTGGCATCTTCAGAGGACAGGAGTCAGAACTCTCTCTGTGCCCTGGTGTAGTTTGTTGGATAGTTGAGTATTTATAGCTGTGGAATCAGCTTTGGTCCTTTTCAGGAGATTGGGTGATTACAGTGATCAGCATGTTTTTTTTTATTGTGGGTGTATTGTTGTGATAAAGGGGAGAGATTATCTGTCACTGTGATTGTTGGGTGTGGTTAGTTGGTCTTTATTATGACAGTTTAGTTGCAGTAACTGAAGTTTCATTTAGAGTTGGTGTAAGTAAAGATAATGCCAGCATTCTGCAGGGGCACCTTCAGAAACTGAAGTTAGATATCCTTTAAGAAGTAAGCTTAATTAAGTCTCAGATGAGAATACAGTGGAAACTGAAAGTTGAAAACAGAACCTGGGGAAATGTGGAAAGGAGTGAAATAAATGAACATGGTGCAACAAGGTTACATATTGTTATAGAAATCATTTGTGGTCTAAAGATGGAAGGACTTATGGTAGCTTTTTCTTCCTATTCACAGGTATTCTAGCCTGGATCACTGTGAATTTTTTAACAGGTAATTGCTGTTGTCTGACTGACTCTGAAATCTTAGATAGAGTCTGCTTGATAAAACATAAGTTGGCAGGCACTGACGGCAGTATATTAATCTTACACATAAGCTGCATTCTTAAAGCTTCTGCAAAGAAACCATGCAAGAGCACAAAGGCCACATAACATAGCATTTCGCATGGCACATGGGCAGTCTCTGAATTTCTGCAACGTTACCCGCAGGTCAGTTGTATGGCCAGAACCCGCAGACAGTGGGGACCTTGGATTTGGGAGGAGCTTCAACCCAGATCACGTTCTTGCCACAGTTGGAGGTGAGGAGCAACTATAAACACAATTTGTTGGGATTATAGTTGGATAATAGGTTGTAGGTGCTCCAGTTACTTGTTTTTCTTCCAGATGTAAGCTGCTTAAGTAATATTCATTAGTTTATTGGGTTTCTCTTAATAATGTTTAAGATAGTAGACCAGAGATAGGCTACTTCCAAGAGGAGACGGGCTATTACCATCGAGAAGGAGATTCAGGGTATTGAAAGCAAGGACAAGCAGATTCAAGAACAGCTTCTACCCAAGTGCAGTATTCAGTTTAAATACGGGGTCATAAGTCTTAGGTGGAATTTTAATTGCTGGGAGAAGCGGGGCATCTATATTTGTATGGTGAGTGTTGTGTATATTTTAACTTTTTTTGTAGTGGTGTTGTCCAGTTTTACCTTGGGGAAGAGCACCTCATTTCATTGCACCCACTTGTGAGTGCAATGACAAATAAATTTCTTATGTCTTATGTCTTATTTTCACCATACCTAGCACTTCCATGGGGTGCTCCAGCTCCTCTCACCAAACTGCATTTTTAAGCATTTTTTAAAATTAGATATTTGTTCTGTTTTTGTAGATAAAACAAAATGTAAAAGTAGGGAAGTGTACTTTGTATTAGTAAAAAAAAATCCATCTACCAGAGATGTTCTTTTTTCCCCTTTCTAAAAATAAGTAAACCAAATAAAAGAAGATGGTTAGAATTGTGAGCCACCTCAAGTCCCCTTATTGGAAGAATAAACAAACAAACAACAGAAGGTTCTGGAGTCACAAAAACACCCTTAAAGCTTGGCCCTTTACTAAAAGAAATATGAAATTGCATATATTTGATAGTATTTCTCCTCAAGTGGTGTGGCTACACCAGTTTGAATTTTTAAAAATTGTCTGTATTTTGTAATTAAATACTCTCAAGACCATCCTTAATTTCTCATGTCTGTGCATTTCGTCACATTAATTACAGGCTTTGATAAAAGTAATTTCCTTTCTTACCAGAGCAAAGCAATTGTTTTCTTAGTTCTGATAGGCCTCTATTGGGAAAATAATTTATTTTATACAGAGGCATAGAGAAGGCCCTCTTTGTGTTCAGTGTGATGGCGTTTGAAGGAGGACCTTTTTATTTGATCTTAACACTATGGAAGACTCATAAAGGGGAAGGCAGTCCCCAAGTAGGTGAGCTATTCAAGGCTTTATAGGTGAAAAAAGGCAAAAGAACACTTATTTCTTGACCAGCACCAAAGGGAGTGTAAAATTATATTTCTTAGATGGTGCATTGTATTGAATCTTAATTTAAAAATATACTTTTAGTCTGAGAATATTCAGTGCATGAAGCATGATTCAATTTCAGCAGAAAGGTTAATTCACTGAAGTTCTATCTTTAGTTCTTAACAGAAATCCCTTAGAAGGAGCAGAGATAATCTTAGAGTAATGGAGTTGGAAGGAGCCAACCTCCTGCTCAATATAGGAATACAAATAAAAGTATATCTGACAGATGACTATTTAACTTTCTCTTGGATGTCTCTAGTGCTCACCACCTTCTGCAATAATTAGTTCCATTGTGTCCTGCTCTGTGTTCTGTTAGGAAGTTTTCCCCTGCATACTTCTTAAAAATAACAATCTTTATAGCAGTTGCTCATTTAATATTACACACTTTTGATACGGATATGAGCGTTTTGTACTGGCAGCACTTTCTTCAAACTGATGAAAAAATATGTTATGCAAGCATGCATCAGAAAGTTTATGCTCCTATTCACAGTGTTCTGATATCTGCCTCACTACCGTGTTTACCCAAAAAAATAAGACAGTTTGGATTGGCCTCCTCAGTCCCTTCTTTGCAAACTGAAATCTCACACTGTAGCAGCAAGGTTGGTCTGTTGTGGTCATCTAATCAGAGATGTGGAAAAGAACACATACCGTACTTTTCCGTGTATAAGATGATATTTTGTCTAAAATATTTTGACTAAAAATTGAGGGTCGTCTTATTCACAGAAGTAAGCCAAGGAGAGAACTGTGCAATTGCAAAACTGCCCATATGTTGCCTCTGCAAACAGGCTGTCTAAAGTCATGAGCCTTATGTAAATTACGTCAGCTGATACTGAACAAACCAATTGGAACACAGTTCCATGGAGGTGGAGCATGTAGGCAATGCTCGGATGCAACGCATAACGTCCGAGTGTTCTGAGCCCAGAGGCTGAATAAAGTGATATGCTCAAAGC